GCCGGAGGGGCCAAATGGCAACAGTGGATACGAGTGGCAAATCTCATATACATGTGAACTTTTGGGCGCTTTTCGGTTATTAATATAAATCTAAGTGGAGTGACGGCAGACCAGGTCTTAAACGCCATGTCAAACGACTTGAGCACATCTTCGTTGGACATCTTCTGCGACCACTCTTTAATCTTATACATGAGCTTATAGTTTGTCCATTTGCTGCCCTCAAGTGAATAATCGCCTTTGCAGTCCATCATTCCTCCTTCGGGTCCCATTCCTCGAGTCTTTACTTTCATTTTATGGACCGGATCTTTGTTACCACATCTCTTGGCGCTCATCATCTCTTTGGTCTTGTCGTCTAATTCTCCTTATATTTCGATAATTATAAATCAGTAATTTTATGGCAATTATAATAACAATTGAAATGTTTTCAATGTGTTTACCCGTAACTGGGAGTCCAAAAAACATCTGAAAGTTTTTGATGCCTCTCTTAATTCCCTCAAGACTTCTGGTATTTACTGATATATAACCATATTTTAACAGATAATCCTTTGATAATAAAAAAAATATTTCAGATTTCTTTTAATTTGTGTTTATTTTTATATAAACTAATGATAATTTCGATATTTTAGTAATTAATTATTGATAATTGAATAAACAATGAAAGCGTGACATAAATAAAATTATTAATTCATTTAAACGGAAAATTCAATTTAAAAAATTATAACATTTCTTCAAAAATGACATCAAATGCTAATAAAAGTTCAGATAATTTGAAAGATATGCTGAAAAAGATGGTACCGTTTGATGCGTGCAATACAGACATCAATTTCATTCAAATCGATGAAAATGACAATAACTTAGAAGAAGGCAACAGTTTTCTAACCGTTTGGCAGAGAATAGACTCCGATGTGAACCGAAGAAGTGCTTCTCATTTGAGCCAAATATTGAGTGCAATCTATAAAACAAGATTTCTTCTGCCAATCAGTCGATTGGATGTCAATTATGAGAGCGCTCTTAAGGGAAGACATCCACACATTATTGGGAAGATTCTCATCACTGATGACAGAAGTTATGCTTTACTGACGGATATAATTGACATCAATCTTCTCAAAGAAGAACCGTTTGGTATATCATGTGATTATAACATCAAAGATGTTTTGCCACAAGAGCTCATCCAAAAGTATCACATAATTTATTTGATTTGTTTGACTGAAATGAGAGACAATGAGTTTGAAAAGTTTGTCAGTAATTTGCGGACAAAACAGAGCGGAAGTTATACTCTGTTTTGCAGTTATA